ATTTATAATAGAATTTTTATCTTCTTCCATAATATTGAGATTCAGAAACTCAGGGTTATTGCTATGTAATGGAGAAAAGGTTTGGTTAGAAATTTGAGAAAGGAAAAACTTATTTACCAATCTTCGTATTTTGTCCGACAGAATTTCTTGTCCAGCCAATTTTAAAAGTACGATGTTTGGGGTCCATTGTGGAAGTCCCAGTGCAATTCGAAGTGCTTTGGTGTGAATGATATTAAAAGATTTCAGTTGGTTATCAGACCATTTATTTATTATATGACTAAAGTAGTAGAAGATACTGCATATACTATTATTTACTATTTTGATTAGATCTGCTGTTCTTGGTCCATGATGCTTATATGCCATAGCCTTAAGGCTATTAATTTTTTTTCAAGGCTTTGTTATTTAATTGGTTTCTTAATGAAATATTCTGGCTCCGCTTGGAAAAATGAACTCCTAAATATTTGATAGAGGATTGCCAAGGGAGAGAATGTCCCTCCAATAAAATATTAGGAAACGTAGTAATTCTTTTGTTTGATAACTCTGATATTGTGCTTTTATCTGGACTAAGAGAAAGCTTCCAATATTTACACCATTGAGATGCTCATTTTTTCACAAATATAAAACTGCCCAACTTAGAAAACACTTTCAAATTTTCAAATTTTCTTTTTGTCAGCTACATGTACTGTATATGAATACGTTTATGAACAGTGCAATGCTCAACATTTGCTTCACGCGGGAAAACACACGGTCAGAGATATTTGGGGAATTTCAATTGCGTAATTTGGCGCGGAATATTAGGCCAGTTTGTTTCCAAGTGAAAGGGTGTATACGTGCTTTTTTGTGGAGTTGTGAACAGCTATGGCTTCGAATTAGAAATGGACGCGCAGCGTCTTGAACATAGACAAAACTTGAAGTATTAAACTGACTCGCGCGTGAAGGGAGAAAGAAAGTAGAGCGTCTCTAGCACAGCTTTATAATGTTGGAAAGTCAACAATGTCTGACATAAAAAAAAGCCGAGAAAGCATTTTAAATTTTACGTCAAAATTTGACTCAGAAGATGGCTCGAAGAAAAGGAAAACCATGAGTGAGTGAATAGTAGCGTCGCACTGTTCAGCTGCACGAAGGCTTTTGGCGACGGTCCACGTAATTTTGAACCATAGTCAAGTGACGTGGATGACATCTGAGGTGGCACCACTTCTCCTAACTACCACACCAACGGGTGGAAGTTTCAGCTCTCGACAGATTTAACGTGCATCGCTGTCCTACACGGCGGGTCTTTAGTGGTACTGGGCTCGAACTAAGGAAAACCATGAGGGAAGCCATGATGTTGTACTTGATCGTGCACTCAACTTGTGATTTTCATAAAGAAGGAGCAAAGAGGACCCGATATCGGGCCCTCTGTTGTGCGAAAAAGCTCTGGAACTTAACGAGAAACGTTTGAGACAGCTATGGAGTGGTACGAACAACAATCGGAGTACTATCCTGCTCAACTACTGCTGCTCAAGCAAATCAAAGACCCTGCAGCGAAAAATATAAGTGATTATTTTCCACAATAAAGGTTAAATTGCAACATTTTGCACCTATTTTGCTTTTTCTTCAAGCACGTTTCCCGCATGTGAGGATTTTCAACATTCGTACAGTGTCCGGTTTTGTACACTGCATGGATCGCATTCGGTTTTCGGTTATCCGAACAATCGCGTATCCGAATGGAGTCCGGTCCCAATCGATTCGGATAAACGACATTCTACTGTACTTCAGAGTAAATTACCGTTTCTCCAACAAAACATGCGAGCGGAAAGAGTTAAAACAGAACATTGAGTAGAACTCAAAACAAAAATTAATCTTCCAAAAACATTCGAAAACTTCAGCCGAAAACATTACATAAAAGGAAAAAAAAGAAATTTTTTAACTCTATATCCCCAATTTGATCTCTTCAGAATCAAAGAGAAGCCAGAAAGTCTATACATTGAACTGCTGCACTTCCCTGCTAGCCGCGACCACAGGTGCTTCACTGGAGGGGATTTGGTGCTTCCCGTTGGCTTCCAGCTGTCAAATAGCTCAAATGACGCCAAGGATTGGTTTGAAGGGAAAATATGGATCGCCTGTTCAGGGGACAATAGCCTTATTCAAGAGTTGCAGTTGGTACTTGAAATCGGTGCAGCGGGGGGTTGCACCTTAGTTTTCAAACGATTGGGGAGTTCTACTTTGATATATTTTAGTAAAATTGTTATCAGTATGTGATATAAAACGAATTGAAAATCCAACACCTAGTAGCTCTGACCGGATAAGCCGACCATTAAATGTACAGCAAATGGTTATTTGTTATACATTTAATGGTCGGCTTATCCGGTCATTTTGTTGAGGGAATGTTTCTATCTTCCATATTTTACCAGAGCAATTATAAGTAGACATTTTTTTGCACTGTAGATACGTTTCTCGAAACACACTACGCAAAAAACCCATTCAAAAAGAATTTTTAATATATATGGTTAAAAAAAGGGAATGTGTTATGATACACTAAAATCGTGTCAAAAAAATTTATGGAAAATCAATTGCATAAATTTTTTGTGTTTGCATTTATATAGAGTTATACAGAATTCTCTCCCGCGTGCTTCAAAGCGTTTCAGTAAAAATGAATACATGATAGAGAATACAAAAACAATTAAAGTTTTAATTACATACCTCATAGGTGTTCTATGTGTAAAACTTTGGTTACATGGCATACATCGATGCAATAGTTTAGTTCCTGCCATACTCTACTCAACATGATACTAGTGGCGCATACAAGGAGGGGATCTCGGGTTTAGACCCCCATAGCCCTTGATTTATCTTTGATTGATTATAATCAAAGTACATAGTGTAAGGGTGCCCCTCTCGGGTGCCCTTCTCCTTGATTACCAGCATGAGCTAGAGGTGTAGGAATAAAGGGAGAACTAGAAGCCGCCATGATTTTAATATGACTTTATTAAAATCTTTAACTTAAACTTCTAACAGATTAGATAATAATAATATATGTGAGAGAATCTACGGTGGCTAAACTCAACAATATATATATAATACATAAATAACGTAACCCCAACCACTATCAATAACTAATTCGCCTAAACTCAATTCCAATACTATCACAGATCCGAATATTAAATAGTCACATCTACCTTAATGTCGAACGATCAATCTAATCCTACTTGAAGTTGCGGATTTACTGGACTGCAATGGTATGCACCTTGACCTAAGGGCTCTATAACACGCATAACTTCTATTGGCTGTCACTTAACCTTTCCAAAAACTCTTCACGCTTGAATCACAGATTACCATAACATTCCTCAAATTGCCACACAGATTACTCTAACTTCTGATATTTAAAAGCTTCCTAATTTGCATCTTTCCTTCAGGCTTCACTTCTTGGGTTTGGTTGGAAAAGAGTTGCCATTAATCCTGGCCCCAAAGAACCCAAAGGACATGTTAATGAAAAGACGCGTCACAATAGTACGTAAAATTCAATTAAGTATTTGTATTAATAGCTATTTTTATTAATTAATGTTAATTATTTATTCAATTAATTTTTTTACTATTTTTTGCTCCCGAAAATCGACAAAATCAAGAAAATATATTGGGTGGCGTATTGGAGCAGGAAACGGAAATGATGGATTTTCGTCCCTAGACCACAAACCCCACCTTGAAAAATTCCTGTATATGCCACTGCATGGTACTATAAACATGATGAACACACACAGTGCATGTTTATCCTTTCATGATGATCGGCTGCATCACTCGGCAAAGTCGATAGAAAAGATGCCTCATATAACAGATCAGGTTTTGGGATAACCTGGAAAGAATAACACGAGCTGTTAATAACGTTGATAGTAATACCCTGTTGAGTAGAATGGTAAAAACTGGACTATCGCACTGAGGTGGTCCAGTTTCCAAATAATATTTTTTTCCTTTTATATAATCGGGATCCACCCTAATCAATCATCTTTAATTGTGTTAAAATCTACCGTGTAAAAAAAAATTAAATTTTTCCTTGGACCGCGATATTTCAAAATCGTGTTAAGGTATTCGACAACTTACAATTTTTTTTAAAAAAAATAGAAGCATGGGAGGGGAGTGGGGGTAGATTTAGTTAGTACATTTTAAGAAAAATATGCTCCACTTAAGAAAAAGAAATTATTATTACTAAAATGGACAATTTACAAAATTTATATAAACGGGGCCCATTTTGTAGAAAAAAAATGTATGGACAAATTTTTAATTTTTCAATTTTGATGTGTTGCTTTGGTATTCATTTTTAAAATGACCTTCAGTATAAGAAATATTTTAATTTTTGCAAAATCTAGAGCACTTTATCTTAGTTATTATAAGAAATTGCTTTTAAAAACATTGATTATATATTCACATAAGGGACTGTAAATTTTGTAATAAAACAGTGATTGATAAATCTGAAGGTTAAAACACTTCTACTATTATACAGAACATACACAAAAAATTTCAGTCAATTATTTTCAGAACTTTTTGAGCAATCGCTGTTCCCGTTTGATCCTTTATAAAAACACACACATTTCGAGTAAAACGCATTTTAAAGTATGACATCTTGCTTAAGTTAGTTGCTGTTGTCGTGTGTTTCATAATGGAATACATACAGTGAATATTAACATAACACTGTTCAATTGCACGAGGGCTTTTGGCGACGGACTTCGTAATTTTGAATCATGGTCAAGTGACGAGGACGACACCTAAACTGGCATCCCCCTCTCCTAACTATCACACCAACGAGAGTACGTTTGAGCTCTCGACTGATTTAACGTGCATCGCTTCCCTGTATGGCGGGATACATACGAAAGACGGGAGATAGATGAACAGAAACATACAATACAATCAGAGAAGAATATAGACTTATTACAAACGATGATACCAGCGTAGAAAAGAAAGGGTGCGCTGCTTTCCATTTGAGATGGAAATCCATTTCAGGCGAAAGTCCGACTTCTATTCCCGAAGATACATCCATCTTTATTCGGGATTCGAACCCGAACTCACTCGATTAGGAGACGAGTGTCATAACCACCTTACTAGGTAAGGCGGTGCTTAAAGTAGTGGCACCTGCTTTTACTAAAACACTTGCATTTTTTGTTCCAGTGAATGGAAATTAATAAACTTGATATTTTTATAGAGCTAATGAAAATTATCTGTAAAATAAAATCATAAAAAAACATGTCAATTTTTGGCAAAATTCACAATTTTAGGTTTAAAAAAGATTTTGGTGCATAGTCTTGGAAATATTGTTATTGTTTATCAAAAAAAAAGTATGCGTGATTACTTCTAAATTATTATTATTTAAAAGGAGGAAGTAGAGAGTGAAAGCAAAAAGGTCAAAGTAGTCAAAAGCGGTGGGACAAATTAAACGCTCCAAAACGTTACAATCAAAGCAAGTTAGTAAATCATTAAGACAAATAGGTGAATCAAAATGAAACCTGATTTTCAGCTTTTCTTGAAGATTAACGTCGCACTGATGGTTGGCGATGACCACGTAATTTTGAACCATGGTCAAGTGACGTGGACGACACCTGAGCTGGCACCCCCCTCAGCTTTTCTTGGAAAGTGATGGTTGATGTATTTTATATAATTTGATTCACTCAACCATTTGGTTGCCTGGCCAAGGATCCGGTTTCGTGTAGCCTCGTTAAAAAGAAATTAAGTAATTTTCATTAAAAAAATATTGCTTATACTTTAAATAGATTGATGAATAGGTGTTCTTAAATAGCTCATTTAACCTAGTTTTGCAATAAAGCTTATGAGACAGTATTTTTTTTTTTGTGAAAAATGATTTACCATTTTAAAAATGTTTATGCGTCTAAATCAGGGGTGGCCAACCTTTTTGGAAAGAGTGCCATTATCTGGTAAAAAAAAAAATTATTCGTGCCACTTCCAACATTTCGAACAAGCAAAAAAAGATAAAAAGGTGAAAAAAATGTAAGCTCAGTATGGGATTTTTTAGCAAATAGCATATTTTTTAATGCAAGTCTTAAGTATTGGAAATTTAAAAATATGTAATAAATAAAGTAAAGTACAAACTTTAGGTCTTATTGTTAAAAAACTTTTTACAGGTTCAAATTAGTTAAGTTAGGTATAAAAACTTAATGTGGTTTTTGAATTTGTAGTTTGTCTTACCAAGTCATCTATATTAAGATTAGCTCAGCACTTCTCAAACTGTGGGGCGTGAGCATATAGAAAAGTGAAAAACAAAAGATTATTTAAAAAAATTATTAATTGATTGAAAGTAAACAAATAAAATACATTCTGATATAGTAAAAAATAAACCAAAATATTTACACTGATGTAATATACTTATAAATTTTTCAATTCTGCACAATGTATTTTATAACTAATTTAACAATACTAAGTTAAGAACGAGTTTAATGATTACCAATGACCTCAAGAGCTTGTCTTATATAAAATTATATGCAAAAATTAACACTTATCTTGATAAGTTGAGCGGTTTATTATCAATCCCTTAAGGGGACTTGGCACCCTTTGAGCAAACTTCTTTATTTACGTATTTAAAAATTATATTTTAACATTTTATACAATGTTTCTATTCAAGAAAATGTTACCAGATGAAAATTTTCATATATTATTCACACAATTTTAAAAATTTAAATTTTTTGAAGAAAATTGGGAAAATTTTAAAATTCTACTCATTTTGTAAAAATTAATTTTTTGACCTGAAATTTTTTTTTTATAATATTCTTATGGATGTTCTTAACAACTTTAGGGATCGATTTTAAAATAACTTCATTCGTTTTCGAGAAAAAAAAATAAAATGTTGATATACAGGCTAAAAATCAACGAAAAAGCCAACATGTCTTACATTTTATTTTTTTAAAAAAAAGTATTCAGTTTATAGCAAAACGGATCCCTAATTTTATTACGTGCTTTACTTTTAACACGCAGGAAAAAAATGGAAGTGATTGGTAAATAATTGTCGAAGGAGTAGCATTTTGAATGCACTAAGGTTTCGAAAAACACAAACTGAGAAAAACCACATTAAAGTTTATAATTCTGAAAAAAAATTATTATAAGCTTAATTAAACTTAAAATACCACTTTAAGATATTACTTATACGTTTTCTTTAAAATAATTGCATTTTCATATGTTTTCAACCCACACATTTTTATAAATGATCAACTTTTAGAGAGTACTAATTGCACAAGAAAAATCAAGAAAAACTTAAAAAGAAATTTTTTTTTTTTCTGTCACGACAGAAATTTTAGCTGTTTTTCTTCTTATAATATTAAAGTATTACATTTGTATGAAAAATATATCAGGAATAAGAACTGAAATTATATAAAATTATTAATATAAAATGCCTTAATTTAAAAATTTTACATGCACACATTTCACAAGGAAGAAAAATTACATTATTGTATTGCCTCGGAAATATTCTGCTTTTAATACTACACATTCTTTTTTATAGTTATTATTTCTATTTATAAAATAGATTTTTTTTTATCATAACGCATTTTTTTCTAAAAAGGGGGTGTGGCTGAATTGCCTAATTTGTTTTCAAATGAAGTTTTATTCAACTTCTAACTTTCCGACATGCACAAGTGATATATCAATCGATAGATAATAATGCAAAGAATAAGATTAAATGAAAATTAAAAAAAACGATAGGTTGGTGATTTTTAGGGTACCAAGTCCTCTTAACTGCTGATTGAAATGTACGCAATTCGCTCTCGAATGCCACCGTTTTGCACGTATGCATACATATGTGGTGTTTTTGAGAGGGGAGGAGAGAAAGGGAATAAATAAGCAAATCCTCTAAAATAAGTAACTCCTTCGTAAATACTGGTAAGATCTTTTGATTACATTCCAAAGCTTTCGGAATAATTTTATGGTTAACAGTGAGCAGATAAGATCGTATTTTTGTAAAAACGTATATATACATCAGCGGCAATTTACGCTCTTTGGCTGAGCGAGACGTTTATATACGGCGGTGGCACTTAAGACGTTGAAGTCGAATTGAAACGTTAGCGTCAAAGTATCCTGTTATCAAATTCAATAAAATGTTATAGTATGGAGGGGGCGCGATGAAAATTAAGATTGAATATTGGGTAGCAAGAATTGAAAGTTTGAGAAGCACTGGATAAGCTCTTAAAGATGCAAGCAAAATTAGGTTGTTATAGGTGCACATCTGCTAGTTTTGAGCGATATTTTGATTTTATATTCATAGTAGAAACATTAATTTACAAACATATGTTGATACAAGTTTTAAGGAGCTTTTTTTGTCTGAGACAATCGCGTGCACTTTAGTAAAATTGGAAGAAAAAAAAACTATTTATTTTCTTTTCAAAGTTCTTAATTTTTCAGTAAGACTTCGCGTGTGAGACAGTCACAACTCCGTTGTTGGCCACCTCTGGTCTAAATTATCCAATATTTTTCGAGATAAATGTGTTTCACTGTTGCATTTCTGTTTATTTACAATCTTTAATTTTCATGTTTTGATTTTTCGTTTGCAGCTAAAAATAAAAGAATTAAGCAAATTTATTTGTAACTTTTAAATTTAGAGAAATTAAAAGGAAAAAAAAATCCGACATAAATTTGTAACACATTTTATAGGTTATATAAGTTTTTTTTTTATTTCTTTCCTAAAATAGGTAAAAATTTGCTTGAAAATACTTATTCGTTGAAAAAACATTTCAACTATTTATTTATCCTTTCAAGACCAAGGAAACTCTCCCCCTTTTTAAAACTTGTGATTGTGGTATTTAATTATAATCTCATTTTCTGCATTTTTTTATACAGAAGGTCAAAATAGAACGTACGCCGAACACAATTACGTAAACGGGAATGTTTAGGAAAAGAAAAAAGTATATCAAATCCATTGGCGCCAATGATAAAACATTCAAGGGGACGCAATCTGTTATTTCAGCTTTTATCGTGTCGTGTAATGCTATATTACTGTGTTTTCTCACAAGCTATATGTAATTCGGTAAGTATAAATTTATGCAATAATAAAGTGTGCAAGATCGAATGAAAATTTATGCCCTATAATGACAGATAATTCTTTGAAGAAATTTTAATGTGCCCTGGGATCCATAAATAAAACTTTTAGACTACTGATACGTATTTATTTTATGTCTAAGCAAATTAAAATAAGCTATTACATACTAATATTTGCTCTTAGCCATCTTATTCTCCTGTAAGGGTTAAGCATTAGTACATATTTTAAGGTATCCGACTACGTTCTGGACCGTGATTTTAAAAAAGGTGCATAAATGGATAATTTTCATGACATTTAGTGTCACTTAGATTAAATTTTATGCATAAAATCGTTTTAAGGACATTTTGACAAAAAAAATTTATTTAAATACAATATTTTGGCAAAAAAATTAACTTAGAATAATCTTTATTCCAAATGTTCTCCTTTTGTGAAAAATGCTTCTATTACAATAATATTTTGCCTGCAGACCTCTCTTCAGAGACTCAACTAGAATTGTCGAAAAATTCACATTATTTTCAGAGTTACCACCAGTTGAAATAATTATTCTCGTTTTTTTCTTAAAATTACTCCCCTGTTGTCGTAAAATATAAATATAAACCCACTTCTAAGTTATATATTTCAAAAATTCTAGTTGAGCCTCTGAACAGAGGTCTGAGCTATAGACAGGCAAAATATTATTCTAATAGAAGCCTTTTTCACGAAAGGAGAGCATTTGGTAAAAAGATTATTCTAAGTTAATTTTTTGCCAAAATATTGTATTTAAATAAATTTTTTTTGTCAAAATGTCCTTAAAACAATTTTATGCATATATTCTAATCTAAGTGACACTAAATATCATGAAAGTTATCCATTTATGCGCTTTTGAAAATCACGATTTCGAACGTAGTCGGATACCTTAAACAAATTTTTTTCGGTTCTCACTAATTACAATGAGAAATACTGACTCTATTCCTAACACAAATTATCATGAAAAAAAGTTGGTACAGAAAATATTTTAAGCTTTATTATTCTTCAACTATTAAAAAAAAAGAAACTGCATTTTATTAGAGAACAGTTATTTATGGAAAGTTATTTGTTA